AAAGACGGTAAGCTGAGTTGAGCTGGAGGACTGCTGTCAAGAATATTTTGGATACAAATACTTGGAAACAAAGACCCCAGGTCCTCTCGGTGCAAGGTCTGATTCAAGGCTTTCAGTGAGCAGTATCAGGCAATCTCGCATACTAGTACTACTTGCTCCGTGCTGCGTATCAATTAATAGACGTAGTACTTCAAGCTTCAGCTTCAAGATCCGAGTGTGCCGGATGAATCAGATGTTCGCAATTTCGTCACTTGTATACGTGATGAGGACAAAGGCTGCTACTAGTAGCTAGAAGTCTCAGCCTTATCCCAGTACTAGTATGTCTCTTGGCGCTCATCAAAGTGATTCAGATCCGCGGCAAATCTCTTGGCCAGGGATGATTCAATCGAGAACAAGAACAGCGCCGAGCGTGACGAACGGTAAGCTTCTCCACCTTATCTGATTTATTAGATAGTGCACACGAACCGGGTACAGTAAGTCTGATGGCCGGTGAGATACTACGGTTGTGCTCTTGACGTTGACGTTGAATAGCAATGGTGTGGAAGCTCGGTACTAGGCTAAGCCCAATTGTGGGTTCGTCTATCCACCAGCCAGGTGGGGAATCAATTTGCCAGTCGATTATCCAAAATGATCACCCAAAGTGGCAACCGAAGTTTCAGCAGGTTTATTTTTAAAAGCAAGTGAACATGTGCTTCAGAAAACTCTTTGAAGCCATCTCACATGGTTCATCACGGTGGCAAAGCGCAGTCTTAAAATGCCCGAGGATGATGGTGTTATTGACCAGGAACCTGTATTATCGACCAATCATTGTGCCAAAAAGGTTCCAGGACATTGTAAGGGGATCGCGGGTATCCAGAGGGCCTGTCAGAGGCCTATCGTGCGGTACTAGTGAGGTGTCCCATGAGTGAGTGTTGCATCCGAACAATATTGACGGTAAGCATATATACTAACAGGGAACTGATCGGCGGCCGGCGGAGTCAAGATCGAGATTCGCATACAAATTTACATTTATGGTAGTTTACCGGAACAAAATATTATGTTCCATGTGTATCATGATTCTGCACTTACATACTTACGAAAACCGTACAAAAGCCGGGACCACTACGATGCGTATCCCCCGGCCATTCGTCCTTCCTCACTATCATGTCGGCTTATGCTGGTCATTCCAGCACTGCTGACTCAAGCGAAAAGGTTGACTCTGAGAAGGCAGCTCGTCAGTTCATTTCCCCTTGATTCTACCAATGTTCACTGATACTCACCCCGAACATTTAGTTGCAGTCGGTGCCCTGCCCCTTGCTGATTTTGATGACCCAAACATCAACAAGGAAGAAGCCATAACTGGTATTTTAGGTTAGCACATCATATCCTCCACTAAAATTCACCCTGAACACACCCTCCCAGAGGATGACTCCCCTTATCCCGAGGTCCGATCGGCCGTATCCAATACTGATGACATGACCATACCCGTTAGCACTTTCCGCGCATGGGTTATGGGTGAGTCCAGAATCTTTTCCTACGCGTCATGTAGCTCATTACAACTCAGGCTTTTTCTGGGTTATCATAATCCCCGGTTTGAACCAGTTCTTTTTTTTCCGATATCCTTCCGTCAACCTCACTGGCATGGTTGCCCAATTGTTGTCATTCCCCATGGGTCGTCTTTGGGCAGCTGTCGTGCCTAATGTTTCGGTGTTCGGAGTCCGCTTGAACTCCGGACCATTCACGATCAAGGAGCACGTTTTAATCACCATTATGGCTACCGTCGGATGGCAATCTGCATATGCCGTACGTGCGCTTACTCGCGTTTACATCAACACAATTAATATCATCTTGCCAGACCGATATCGTTGCGGTGCAGAGAGTGTTCTACCATCAAACTTTCAACTTCAGCTGTGAGTGTATCCACAGTCTGAACGATATCTCATTGGGTCTGATATCCGCATAGATCAATGGATGTTGGTCATGTCTACCCAACTCATTGGCTTCTCACTTGGTGGTATTATGCGTCGATTCCTGGTTCTTCCTCCTTCCATGAGTGAGTCATGCCTCATGTACTTGTTTCAAGAGAATTAACACTTTCATCAGTTTGGCCCACAAATTTAGTCAACTGCGCCCTATTTAATACGCTCCATGCACAGTCGTACGCTGGTATTGGCAATCGCGGTGGTATTTCAAGAGAGCGTTTCTTCCTTTATGTCTTCTGCGGGGGATGTGCATGGTACTTTGTCCCAGGTTATCTATTCCAAGCCCTCAGCTACTTCACCTGGGTGTGCTGGATCGCCCCAGATAACATTGTCGTCAACCAACTCTTCGGCTATGAAAGCGGCCTTGGCATGAGCTTGATCACGTTCGACTGGTCCCAAATTACTTACGTTGTCAACCCACTCGCAACCCCATGGTGGAGCGAAGCAAACGTTCTCGTTGGCTTTGTGTTCTTTTTCTGGATCCTTACCCCGATCCTTTACTACACTAATACCTGGTATTCTAAATTCCTGCCTATCATGTCTCGCACGTCATACGATAACACGGGTGCCGCCTACAATGTCACTGCAATTCTTGGCACCGATGGCACGCTTAATGCCACTGCATATGAAGCATACAGCCCTCTGTTCCTGTCCACGACTTTCGCAGTATCTTACGGTCTATCATTTGCGTCGATCACCGCCACCGTTACGCACGCTCTCCTCTTCTTCCGTAAGCAGATCTGGGCCCAGTCGCGTCGCTCGATCGATGAACAGCCAGACATTCATGCACGTCTCATGGCCAGATACCGTCAGGTTCCAGAGTGGTGGTACCTTGTCATCTTCGTGGTCATGTTCGTTTTCGGCATCATTGTCATTGAAGTCTGGCCTACCGAGTTCCCGGTGTGGGGCTTCGTTCTCGCACTTTTAATTGCTTTCTTCTATATCATTCCCATTGGGATGATTCAAGCTATCACGAATCAACAAGTCGGTCTGAATGTTATCACGGAGTTGGTCGTTGGATATGCTATCCCTGGACGCCCACTGGCAATGATGCTTTTCAAGGCAGGTAGAGTCCTTGCATCGTCTAGCGCAGTCGCTGACATGCCTATCTAGACATGGGGTTACATTACCATGGCACAGGCGTTGCAGTTCGCCCAGGACTTCAAGCTCGGTCACTACATGAAAATTCCTCCCCGCACAATGTTCTTTGCACAGGTCAGCGCGGCTGTTATCGCCGGAAGCGTGCAGCTCGCCGTGCAAGCTTGGATGTTTAGCAACATCGTGGATATATGTAGCACAACACAACGTGATGGTTTCATCTGCCCCAATACTCAAGTGTTCGGCACTGCATCGATCATCGTAAGTTTTTGTCTGATCTTTACTGCGTCTTTTTGTTTATTCGAGATGGTCTGGTAGTGGGGTGTCATTGGTCCTCAACGTCAGTTCTCCCCTGGCCAGATGTATGGCGGCCTCCTTTGGTTCTTCCTCATTGGCGCCCTTTGCCCTTTCACTGCTTGGATCATTTCCCTCAAGTGGCCGAACAGCATCATCCGTTACATCAAGTGTGTATCCATTTTTTTTTTATTGCACTCGAAAAACTAACAATGAGCACATAGCTTCCCCGTAATATTCACCGGAACGTCCGGCATACCACCAGCGACTGCCGTCAATTATGTGCCTTGGGCAATCGTCGGTTTCATATTCCAGTATGTCATCCGCCGCCGCCATTTCTCATGGTGGACAAAGTACAACTGTACGTATCTTTCCCCTCCACTCCACGATATCCTGCTAACTCCCCGTAGATGTATTGGCTGCTGCACTTGACTCTGGACTCGCAATTTCTATTATTCTGATCTTCTTCTGCCTGCAATATCCGAAGAACGGCACCATTGGCGCAAACAGCGTCGCAAAATGGTGGGGCAATAATGTGTTCTTGGATACAGCAGATGGGAAAAGTATGTCTTACTACACTATCAACGGCACCTTCGGGCCATCAACATGGTAGGGAATATTGTAGTTGTACTATGAGGGTGTTATATATATTACGAATATCAAAATATTGTACATTGCAACACACAATTCATTTTTTCATGTCACAGTGCATTACTCCGCCGGCTCGGAAGGAAGGCGCACTAAACATGACTTCCTAGAGGCGAGCTCTCGAACAGTGTGAGTTCACTGACCTTCCCGTTGAGGGGAATGCTCGTGTCCAGAGAAACATGTCAAAGCCCAAACAAATCGGAGACCGGGCCGCAGCAGCGCTCAAAGTCACTGTATTCATCTCCAACGCCCAAGTCTTTCCAAACGCCAGCTGCCCGCTGCACAGGTCTGTAAAACCGAACTCTGGGAAAAAGATATCGTCATGATGATGGTCTGCAGAGAGAGAGGAAGAACATTTGGAGAAGGGAAGAAAAAAAAAGTGTGTATTTTCCCTGTGCATGCCAGCCGTTGTGGCGAGTCCCGTCTCAGGGCCATCATGATGGTTCTGGCATATTTAGAATTTTGGTGACTACCAAGTTTCCTCGCTACGGCCGTTCGAGAGAATCCCTCGGAACTCGAGTACGCGTAACGAACATTCGACCCTTTCTGACAGCCACGGCTCACGCGATCATTTATTTTTCAGACGTCCCTGTCGCTCGCCAAAATAACTACGATTCACACCAGGTATGCGTGTGCTGTGTTTGCGCGATAATCCGGCAGTGGACTGTCTCAAGAAGGAAAAACCAGCGCTCATCAAGCGTCTGCGTGAGCTTGAGAGCAGTGGAGCCGTGGCAGCTGACAGCCAGGCTGACCAGATAAAGACCGTCTGATGCTTTGCTGTAAAAGTAACAGATGTGAAACTTGGGGTTTGGATATATGCGAGCACGACATGATGCAGTTAGTAGGCATTCCGTTCCTTTCAATTCTGATTAGACCTAGTCTCCCCAAGCCAGACCATTAGTAGAGGAAGGAAGACAGTCGATCCTTCCAATAAAGGATTGCCTCGCGAACCACCCTTCAAGCTAGTACGTGTTTCCTGGATCTTATTAGAGATATGAGATAAATAACCTTCATAACAGTGACCTGCAAACCAGGCTACCAGGACCAAACGGCTTGAAGCATACATAATCGCCCATCTACACACAACTCGCCACCGCAGGTCTATTTCATGCGACCTTCCAAGCCCAAAAGGGACCTAGCCCACCGACGTCAATAAACACCCTCAGCAAAGCACAAGCACTCACCAAGCGGGTCCGGTCTCTCATGCATTGCCCCCGTCCACATCCCCAAAAACCCAACCGCCGCACCTGGCCCTCCAATTTGAACTGCCTCTGACGACCATTCTGGTTCATCTGACCCAGCTGCAGTAGATACCTTCGAATCAGTCAGCAATATGTACGCAAGGTACCATAACTAGTATGCTACAAGATGGAAAACGGAATGCTTACTGTTTGCCATCGAATAGCCCCATCACCGATCATGCTCACTGTACCAGTGACTTTGCGTAATTCGTTTGAACTGCGATCAGACCCTAAAGATTCACCCTCGAAGTGGATGGTTGGGAGGGCGCGAGTGGTGTTGCCTGGTGGGATGCGGGATTCGGAGTAGCCAGTTATACGAACAGCAATGGGTATGATTCGGCAAGCTTCTTGGATGTCGTGTTCGAGGAACCTTTCTGGTGCGAGCTATAGCGGCGGTGGATTAGAGGGTACGCTTTTCAGATGATGTGGCTCACGTTGTGCACTGTAACAGAAGCGTTCAATATGAGAAGGTGTAGGATGGACCGAGAGTACTTACTCAAGAGATCTCGGTAATCAAGCCAGCAAACACATCGCCTGTAATATCAACGGAATTGAGTTTTTCGAAGTATGTATAACCCGAAACTTACTTCCAAACACCACTAATACCTGCCCAATCCCATTCCTCAACTTCGCTCTGCTTGCTTTTCTCACTGCCCTCGGATCTATCTCCCTCCCCAGGTCGCTTTGCCCATGCATTCCAATACCCAGGTGATCCACCGATGGACATCGCATACATTTTGCGCATATACGGCAAAACGTCACTTGCCGAAAACGGAGGCGGCATCTCCCTTAAATTCGCCTCCACAACGATACGCGCAGACGCAAGCCACACATAGTCCGGTATGAGCTCATACGGCTCGATTGGTGGATCCACATCAGGAACGCGGTGCCCGTGCATCAGTCCAAAGTGCATCAGACCCAAGTCGTCATCGTCATCGTCCTCATCTTCGTTCTCATCTTCACCCAAGATTTCAAGATGGTTTGACTCGGGTGAATCGGTGGTGTTGCGTCGCACGGGTTGGAAGGGACCCCACATGCGTGCAGGTCCGAGGTAGCGCATGTCGTAGACACGTCTGCGTGCAAGGGTGCGGACATCAGCGGACTGCCCTTCAGGGGTGTATAACAAGGGTCGCGAGCGTGTGATGGGTAGGGGAGGCATGTCTTCGTCCTCATCAGGAGCAGAAGTTGAGTCTAGTGATACTGACGTAGATGCTGCTGGCGAGGCTCCAGGAACGGATGTGTATGCGAACTTGGGTACTGGCGCGGCAATAGGTATAAAGCCGGTACAGCAGATGAGTTTGTGGAATAGCTGGCCGACTACTGATCCATCCCACTGTGACGCAGATGTTAGAGTGGGCTGGTACGGCGCACGACCCTGGACATCGAAGGACAGCCTTGCCATTAGCGTGCGCGTGAGCTCAGGAGGGAATCCGAATTCTAACAAATCCTGAAGCCACGGCACATTGACGCTACCGAGCATGGCACTGTAATTGGCTGTAAGCAAGTGAAGCAGGGGCGGGAACAGGGGAGCGTTGATCATGGGTGCGAAAGGGGAATTGGACTCGGGAAAGTCATTTAGGATGGTGAGAGATATACGCGGGGATGACGGGAAGGGCAAGGAGGTGGTGATGACTGAGAGTAGTGCCTTCACCACGGATAATGGCACTGGGATGTCGAGACCCTTCGACTGCGAACTTACTGGGGCAGTCGTTTGGACCGGACGTCTGATATACCTAGCTGCGCTGATACGGTCAATGTATTCTTGAGTCCAGTTAAACTCCAAGTTATGATGACCACCTGACATGGTGTTCAGATGATTGAGAGCGGGTCTGGGATCATCAAAAGTAGTAAGGAAGATCTCCCGCCAGAGGTGTTGGTCTGGACAACAGTAAATTAGCTCGTAAAAGGACTTGCTGGTCTGGGAGAGCGCTGCTATGGAATTCGGATCCCCGGAGGCTGCGGCCACGATAAGCACGGCTTCAATGAGTTCTGCGGGAAGGTTAGCGATGGCAGAAGCCATGTCCGAAGAGTTGGTAGGTAAGGCCAAGCTCTCTGTGCAGCTGATATATAATATCACACACAGTCGTCACGTGTAGCCGCATCAATAAGCAATCGTAAAGGACGATAAATCTAGTATGCAAAAATGTCGTGTAAGATGCTGAGCAGACGGGTCCTCACTCTACAGTACCAGATGCTGTTATAGAGATTTTGCTGTTTGTGCGCCCACTCCTCGTGCCCTGAGTTTCAATATTCCTCACAATATCCATCCCATCTTCTACTTCACCAAAGACAACATGCTTGCCATCCAACCACGACGTGACCACTGTGGTGATGAAGAACTGCAAAGCATCAATATTCAATCCAAAATTCAGCAAATAGCCACGCACTTGAGAACCGTTGGTGTTTGGGCCAGCATTAGCCATGGACAACAATCCGGGCTTCTCGTGCTTCAGCTTGAAGTTCTCATCTATAAATTTAGATGGTCGCCACATGGTAAGGAAGATGAACTTCAAAGGAACCGACCTGCGAACTTCTCGCCGTATATCGACTTCCCACCCGTTCCATCGTGCCGCGTGAAATCACCCCCTTGAAGCATAAACTATAAAAAGACCATATTCATCAGCCATAGGAGGTGTCAAAGAGGAAGAATATGATTACAGCGGGAATGACACGGTGAAAAGTGCTTCCAGCATAACCGAAGCCGTGTTGGCCCGTAGCAAGCTCTCTGAAATTCTTCGCGGTCTTTGGGACGACGTCGTCGTATAGCTTGAATGTTATACGTCCGGATGGCTTGTTGTCTATGGCAATATCGAACTGAATTTTAAAGAAGACTTGGTTCTGGTGAAACCTGATGACATTTGTTGAAACTTACGAAGACCCGCGAAGACCTGGTAGGTGCGTGAAATCAAAATTTTGACGAGTGAGTAAGAATATATTTACTTACAGAGGCTTCGCAGTCGACGCGGAGGTCGTGAAACGACGAAGAAATGAATTCAACATGGGTTGGTCAGATAGATATGATGCACCTGCAACAAGTACGAAGACACCTGCACCTGTCAAAACAATTGTTTTTTGCAAACCCATTCTACTCAACACAGCCACCACTCAACCGAAAAAAAAACTAATAAATAAACCATTTAAGCTGCTAACTGTCATAATATTAATCAGCATAAATACTGTCCGCGCTTCTGGTCGAGGGACGACAGTCTCGGCTACTTACAGGCTAGTTACAGCTACCTCATCAAAGTTCAAACGTTCACTAGCTGGTTTGCTGCCAACCCACATTACTTAGTTCCAGTTGCTTGTTATTGCAACACAGTCACGGTTACCAACAGAGGGCTGAATTCAAAATGGTCGGAACACTGACTCCGATATATAGTCGCTATCCTTCGAAAGCCGGAAATCGGACTTGGCCTTCAATGTTTTCTATCTCTACCTGCGCACTCAGTCTCCTTGACTCGAATAATGAATTATTCGATAGACATAATCACTCTGAGTCATGCATGGCCGTGAACCGATTAATCAGGATTCAGGGAGATGAGCGCCATTTATCATGTCATCGAATTCTCGTTATTTATGTATTTTTTTTTATCAACATTACTACATAGTATCCCGTTGAGCTGTGCCAGGCTGTGCCAAGGTCTAATTATCCGGGTTCCCCAGTGTCACGTCCTTCGGACTCCTTCCCCGCTGATATAAATGTCTCGGATTCATCAATATTTGGATCAGGCGTGTCTTCACCCATCACAGAGATGCGTCGAGTCCACCTCGCCGTGCTCCTTGGCTTTGCTGCTTTCGCCACAGCTTTGTCATCACCCTCTACTAGTACTACTCATAACAACCACCGCTCAACCAAAGATCCCAAAGTGCTAATCCTTGGAGGAGGCGTTGCTGGTGTTATTGCCGCGCGCACATTGCACCGCAAGGGTATTGACGACTTTCTGATTGTTGAAGCGCGTGATGAGCTAGGCGGAAGGATGCAGGATTATACCATCGGCGTCCCCGGAAAGCAGTACACCATCGAACTCGGTCCTAATTGGATCCAGGGAACGCAGACTGACAATGGGACAGCTAATCCCATTCTGACGCTCGCTCGAAAACACCACGTTAAGAACCAGTATAATGATCTTGATGGCAGTGTCAGTACGTTTACCATTTTATTTTCATCTTATTCTGTCTGGACTCATCACTAGTGAACAGCGACTTATGACTATAATGGGTTTAAAGACTATCGTAACCTCCTGGACACATCAGTTGATCAATTCACTCAGATCGGAGCTGTTGCAGGTACGGCATTGTGCAGTTTGTCAGCTGTGCATGTTCATATGTTCCATAAGGGGGACGTGTCAAGACGCAGCAGGTTGACCTCAGCCTTCAAAGCGCGTACGGCATCATCGGCGCAACTCCAAAGAACATGTACGAAGCAGTTTGCCAGTATTATCAAGTCGACTGGGTACGTGCATCTGTCCTATCCAAGCATACCGCGTTCCTAATTTCAAACTCGTCAGGAATGCAAGTTTTTTTTTCTTAGACGTTTTCATCCTGCTGATCATTGCAACTGCACATCCAATAGATGCACAGGTGCGAGAACTCGATCACATTGTTCGGTGCGATTCTCACTGTCTCGTACTAGTCCCCAGACCAGAATTCGTGGATAGCATCAGCTTGGGTATTTACGTAGTATTCTAGTGCGCGCCTACCAGCCTGACAATCCCACAGAACAACAACTTTACCTTTGACGTCGATATGGGTGGCTTCTCGGACAATAATAACCTCTGCATCGATCAGCGTGGCTTCAAAACCATCATCCAGGCCGAGGCTGCAGATTTTCTCCAACCCGAGCAAGTCTCCCTGAATTCCATTGTCACGACGATTGCATACAGCGGGGATGGGGTGACGGTCACACTAAAAGATGGTACTACTCTCACCGCGGACTACGTGCTTTGCACGTTTAGTATTGGAGTACTACAATATGGTGATATCGCGTTTGAGCCTGCTCTTCCCTCGTGGAAGATCGAGGCCATTCAGAGCATGGTCATGGTAAGTTTACTCAGTGCTAATATTTTCGACGACTCAACTACCCCCCCAGGCCACGTACACAAAAATATTCTTGCAATTCAATGAAAAGTTCTGGTTTGATACCGAGGTATGACTGAACATCGCCGTTAAATGGTTCTTTGACGTATCTGGAATAGATGGCCATCTATGCAGACAAGGAACGGGGGAGGTATCCGATCTGGCAGAGTCTTGACCACGTTAAATTCTTCCCTGGTTCTGGTCTCGTCTTTGTGACCGTCACTGTAAGTCCGCATGATTCATGGTCTATGCACCTCTGTCGCTCATTCCAGGGACATTTAGGGTGATTACTCACTGCGCATCGAGGGCATGCAGGATTCAGATGTTCAAGAGGAAGTCATGGAAGTCCTCCGAGCCATGTACCCCAACATTACTGTCCCTGATCCTGTCGCATTCCATTTTAAACGCTGGCATGCGGACCATCTCTTCCGTGGTTCCTACTCCAACTGGCCTCCTTCTTTCCTTCCCGGTCACGCGGAAAATCTGAGGGCTACTGTAGACAAGAGCCTCTGGTTTGCGGGTGAAGCTACGAGCTTGAAGTATTACGGTGCGTGTTTCTTCTGACTGTCGTTTTTTTGTGATATAAATTTGTGTAGGTTTCCTTCATGGTGCGTATTTCGAAGGGTTGAACGCTGGGGAGGAGATCGCCAAGTGCGTTGAGGGCCCTGCATGCATTGGGCGGGAGCATCTGAACAGTGTGGTCGATGCTTCCCCTTATCCGTTCGTATCTATCACGCCTTAGGTGCTCATAGTTATCGCAATCTTTAGTATCGTTTTCGAGCACCGCAATTATTAACTCTTCCCAAAGGAACGACCCTCCTCATGACCCGGTCCGAAAGGAATGAATATGATCGTTCCTTTACAGTAGTGTCCTGACTTACAAGCCTGATAGCGACGGGCCCATGGCCTACATAATATGCGCACCTTCACGAATCATGAGTACTCGCAGAATATTTTGCAATAGGGTTCCACTTGTCAGTCGCCAGTGCTGGTCAAGATTGGAATGACATCATTCTAGCAGTTGTGAGACACAGTCTTCCCGATGCCGTGACGCAATCGGATCGTCGGATGTCTCACAAATGCGAATTTCATGCCGTCGTCAGTCTGCGTATAAAAGCTAGCTGCCCTCTACTAACATTGCTACTTCATTTCCCTTCACCTCGCTTGCTTTACGTTTAACTTCACGCTGCATCACCGGTACCCTATGAGACGACTACGAACAACGAACTCAGCACGATTCAATCGATCTCGAATATGCGACTCAGACTACATGGGCTTATTCTGACACAAGGCTCGAGGGACTTTCAAGGCTTAGTGACTCGATCACCCCCTCAATTAAAACGACTGATCGATGTTTACCATGATGGGCGACTACTGGTACCCGATCTCCTTGCTGTATCTCAATACCCCGACATTCGAACCACGCACCTGGTACGATCTAACCAATTTCGAGCATACGATTTCGACACAGACTACTTGAATTTGCTCTGGCACGAGGTTGGATTCGCGTTTTTTCGGCCTTTACGACTTTGACAATCATTCGATGTCCCGATCGCCCCCCCGCAAATGACTGGATTCTATTGATCTTGCGCGTAGGCGACTTGGACTTGGACTGCCTGGACTTTTCCTCTGTCAGCCCAACCGTAAACTACTCTTCCGGTGGGTCATCGTTACTGGACGCAACTGGCCAATTCGATTCGTGGTTGCAGTCGTACGACAGGACCTGTACTCCCACTAGGTAGTAATAATCCTAAACGGAACGAGAGGTACGAGCGGTAGGGGTAGCGGTAGCCCCCTGATGAGAGCTTTCGCAGGCTCGAAACCGCTAGTCTCACTTCGCTCTACTAGCCTCCCTCTGTCCCAACTAACAGAGCTTTGTCTTAGGAGACGGGCGCCTGCAGCAGGCGCTGGCACTCTGCTGGACGCTTCCCTGTCAGTTCGCTAACGCTCTTTCAAAGCTAAGATGTGGCAATTTGATTGGACTGTGCAGCCGCTCGACACATTGCCCACAGCACATCCAGATCTACGGTGAGCCTCTTACCGTTCTCTAATCCTAAATTTAATTAATCAAGCCCACGACCTCCAGCCCTTTCCCTTTCCCTAAAGAAAGTAGTGCATGTCTAGCCCTGCAATTGCGATGTACCCGGAAGGTCTAGTACAGGAACGTCGATACATGAGGCTTTAGATGAGAGCGGCGGCGTTGTTTCTGCTCTCATTCTGTCTTTCACGAAATTGATACCTGTGGCGAACAAAAGATCTGGTGAGCAATGTTCGTGTCTGCGTCACCTCTCGGAATTGACCAATTTTGATTGTGCGAACATAGTAAGTATGCACTTGAAGGAACCATATTGTAAGCACGATGATTTCTTGCACGGATAATTATTGCTCCGATGCCGATGCGGCCTATTTGACTCCGCTCTTTCCCTGCGGCTTCTGGTTTTGCTATAGATCTAGCGTGACTCAAACATGGTGTAGGCTAGACTTGCGACAACGCATCAATCGTTTATGAACGAGAACACGATCGTCTTATCATTCAACCTGTGCTACACTCTATTCATTCGCATGATATCTTGAGCCGAGGTAGTTTACATTTAGATCTGACGCGCGACGAGTTTCATCCCGCCAGCATGTGTCGTAGTCACGATTCACCGTGTGCAACATAAATTCTTGATGACGGGGAGTCCGTAGAATGCTGTTTGATCGACGTGTACAGCGCTAGCCGCTTAGTAAGCACTTGTATGAGCTCGCAGCTTCAAGCACCTTGCCGCTTTCAAACACATTCCATCTGCATCTGCAGGTCACCTGTAGGCCGTCAATTTCCTCATGGTATGATATGTTTGTATTGTCACATCGTATACCAGCTGAAGGTTCAAAGTCAGCACTGTTCAACTTTCAATCTCTACTTTTGGTCATCTTGTTGATGATCTGCACTTGCACCTACGTCCGTGCAGTTGCCCCACGTCTAGTTGATAGAAACAAGGCAGGGTATGTTGCTCATGTTGACTGCCAGATATCCGTAAATGCTAAGAAAGTAAACAGATTTCTCGGACTTTTCTTCATGTCTGCGCGGATAGGTGCGGTTCTCATACATGCGACTTCCTGCTGGCTTCCTGAAGAACAGTACCCATTCCAACATATTTACAGGAGAGCGCCTCTCCCCATATGTCGCATTAGCATGCGTGGCCATGGCGGTGACAATGATCGCACAGTAATCATACAGGATTATATTATGTGTACAGTGATGAAGTTGACCTATTCGCCGTCCGCTCGACTACTGACGTGCCATCACGGAACCGTGTTCGGAACAGTACGTTTGCATTTGTGAACAGGCCCTCCTTCAGTGAAACGACTATAAATTGAGAGCCCTTGAAACGAGTTCGGAATAGGTGGCCAATGTGTTGGGTATGGGAGAGGTCGAGAGCGGCATCAATTTCATCAAGAATGTACATGGGCGCTGGCTTGAATTGGAGAAGGGCCATAATGAGAGAAAGTGCAATCAAGGAGCTGTGCAACACTCGTCAGTCACAATATCTCACTGATAACTGTATCGTACCGTTGGCCACCACTCAGTTCCGTTAGACTTTGTTTCCAAACAGTCCCCAGTTGTACTTTCACCTCAAGTCCCTGCACTAAGTCTTGACCTTCTGGAGGCTGAAGTTTGGCGAAGTTGCCAGGTAGCAGTTCGGCAAAGATACCACCAAAATCGCTGCACAAGTGGGTGAGTGACGATGTAATGACTGTGAAGGAATCACCGTACCCGTTCACTTTCTCCCATGTCTTCTGGAGGGCATCACGCTTATATCGGTCCAACTCCTCTATGGTGTCTTCGATCTTTTCTTTGTCCTTCAGAACTGTGGACAACATCTTCTTGAGGTCTGATTCCTTCTTTTCGACGCTAGCCACAAGTCATTCAAATTAAACCAGTGTCTTGCGGAAAAGTCAAAGACTTACGTGTCAATCATGTTCATGACCTTCGGGTTGACCTTCTTTTTCATCCCCTTTTGCTTCTCTTCAAGCTCGTCTGCTTTAGCTCGCAACGAAGGCATATCTTGATCAAACTCATACTGTGAGCCAGGTTTGCCAAAAGACCTTCAATAACGTCAAAGTATGTTCAAAAAAGAGCAAGGGATTACCCACTGATATTCATCCCGAATCCATTCATGCTGCTTCTCCAAGTCGGTCACAAATTTGGCCTGCGTGACTTTATCCTTTTCGAGTGCGACAACATCGTGTTCCAGCTTTTTCAGCTCGATTTCTGTGTCGGATACCCCCTTCTTCTGATCGCGAATAGCATTCTCCAGGTCTTTGAGCTCGTTATCAAATTGAGTCAGTGTTGCCCGTTCCTCCTGAAGCTTGTGCTCTGCTCTTGCGTGGTCTGCCTATGTCACATGAGAAGGATTTGCGAGGACACTGGAATTGAAGAAAACCATACCTCATGCTTGGCAAGCTTAGTATTGAGCGCTGCCATGTCCTTGTGAAGCTTGGCGATCTGGGCGTGAGCATCTTTGATGCTGTCCTGGGCCTCCTTGATATCCTTTTCCATTTGTTCTGGGAGTCATTAGCGAGCAGAATAAGAAATTCAAAAACTTCCTTACCAAGCTCGAGTACGACGGTTTGATGTTCCTTGTGCTGCGTCTTTACCACAACAGCTTGTTTCTGAAGAGCTGCCTTCTGCTTGCTAATATCGGCCTGCATAATTGTCAGTGTACTCGAAGGATATATGAAAAGGGTACTCGCTTTCAATTCATTGATCTTGCCTTCCTTGTTGTTTTTGAACTCGTCCATGTCCTTTTCGAGCTTACTGCACTCCTCCTTGGCGGCCTTTTGTTTATCCTTGGCTGCCTGGACAGCCAATTTTAAAGCATCAATCGTCTTCTTCAGCTCTTCTACCTCAGCACCGAGCTAGATGACATTGGTTATTGAATATTGAACTGGACAAATGATGACGACTGCACTCACCCTTACAGCGTTGCTCCCTTCTGCTTGCTGCTCCAAAAGACTGACTTCGTGCAACTTGATGTCGAGTTCGCGAGTGAATTTTCTCCATGTTTCTTTCTTCTCTCGATTGGCCGCTTCTGCTCTTTCAAGCTCACTCAAACGAGACTGTGCCTCTCCCAGCTTGCGCTCTGCCTCGAGGAGTTCCTGCACCCTTAGTAGTGTGCCGCTTCCGCTTGGAGCTGCTCCTCCACTAAGCGTACCAGAAGGGTCGTACACGTCACCGTTCAAAGTGACAGACCTAACCTTTGCACCGAATGTGACAGCATTGGCAGCTTCAGCGTCCTCGCAAACAATGGTGTCTCCGAAGACGAACGCCATGGCACGGGCCACTTCCTCTGGGTAGCCGATGAGCGATAGTGCCAGGTTGGCTTTACCCGGTGCAAGCTGATCCACCTGCGCTAATCTCTGGTAAAAATGAGCATCCTTCCTTCGTTAGCTGGGCTTAAAAGAGACACACCTGAGCATTTAAGACGAATGAATTTATTTTATTCAGTGGAATGATGGTGACGCGCTTCTTCAGCTTTCCGTTCTGGAGTAGGTCCTTGCCAATTTTCTCATCTTCAACGACGACGTTGTAAAGCTTGCCGCCGGCAACGATTTCTAGCGCCTGAGATTTGTTCTGGTGCTGGGGAGGGATCGAGGTCAGGTTAGCGACCAACCCCTTCACCTTGGTGCGGTCGAAATTCGGGTGTGGCGTCGAGTAATCAAAATTCAATGACGATAGGCGTTGTTTAACTGCATCGCGCGCCTGTACGACCGTTATATATGGGCATTAAATATAATATAAAACATAGAACATACCTCGGTAAACTGCCGGACCTGTCCTTTCGCTGTCGCTAGAGAGACTTGGCTTTCTTGCTCTCGTTCGGCGCTCCAACCACAGTCAGCAACTTTGCGTTTGAGTTTCTCGGCTTCCATCCGCATGTTTTCCATATTACGCTTCCCTTGACCCGCTTCTTTCTCTACGTCCCTCCACTTTGCCTCCAATAACTTTAGCTCCTTCTCACTCATGTTGAGTTTTACGCGATTCTGCTCTTCCTCAGCCGACCCTTGGGCCATGCGGGCTTTTGCGTCTGCAAGCTGACCCATGTAGCCACCTCCAGAGTTTCCGGTGTTGCTTGATGAGAGACCAGTGAGCAGCGTCTGTAGCAGCTCCTCTGATTTCGAGAGCGATCCTTGCGTATCGTTGTGCTTCGCTTTAACGGACATATAAGACGACTCGAGTTCTTGGGCCTGGGTACGCTTTTCTTCGAGAGATTTAAGGAGCTCTTGTAGCTCTGCCTCGGCACTGGCAACGCTTTTATTTTCGTCGGTGATATTGCCGTTCGCGAGATCGACTTGGGTTCGAATTTTCACCAGTTCCTTTTCCAAGAGCGCTACTTCCTCCTCCATCTTCTTGAACCTACCACCTTTCTTCCGCTCTGCTTCCCGTTTCGCGTTGACCTCCTGCACTTCCTTCTCGGCTGCCTTCATCTCCTTGATAAGCTTCTTTTTCCGCTTCTCTGTCGTTTCCATCTCTGCTTTCTTGTTCTCGATATCATCTTGCGCCTTCTCTACCCTCTTATTGGCGCCTGTCCATTCCCAAGCGCGCAGTTTCCTGCCAATCTTCTCCAGTTCTGTCCGGGTCTTCTGAAACGCAATAAATTGACGTTTCTCTTCCCGGAGTTTATCTAGCTTGGGTGTGATCTCCTCCTCAAGGAGAGACGTTATCTCCTGCACGCGCTTTTCCTTCTTCGACATTGTCTTCTTGGCCTTGTCCTTTCGATCTTCGAACATGCGAGTACCTGCCGCTTCTTCCACCATGCCAAGGATTTCTTGTGGACGCATGTTAAGGACCTGGTCAAAGGTATTCAATCCAAATTTGCGAAAGTGACGACAGTGAACTTACCTTGGTGATGCGGCCTTGCATGATGAGGAAATTGGGATTATTGATATTCAGCTGTACACTCTGGAACAAAGTCTGAATATTGTTCTGCTGCGATTTGTGACCATTTAAAAGGTACTTTGATATGTTTGGAAGTGCTATCTGTGTGAGACATGAGCTTCGAACACAGATGCGTTGCAGGTTGTGAACGCACTTGACGCGTGACTGTGATCTGCTTCAAGTTCTCGAATCCGACTGGACTCTTCTCTCTATCTGAGTTGTCAAAGACGATTGTTACGCTTGCCTTGGTAACGCCAGCCTGGCCTCTCTTGTAAATAAGATCTTGTTGGTTTTGAGCGCGCATCTGCGGCGTGCATGAGTATGATGGTTGATGTGGGACAAAGACAGCCCGTACTCACCTGAGACATATTGGTGATACCAAGCACAAAGCATATTGCGTCAAGTATGTTGGACTTGCCGGATCCATTGAGGCCAGTGATTGCATTGAATGATGGATCCCAACCCGTAATCTGAGTTCGAACTGGATATGATTTGAAACCTTTGAAAGAAATGTAATCTAATAACTCGTTTATTTACTTAAAGTCATACCTTCGACCACAAGTTCTTCTATCCGCATGATTGAAGTTTGGTGTTGAATATAGTAGGACGCGACGCGACGCGTGTTTGTGGCGGAGATTCATTTAGTTTGCACGTGACCAATGTTTTATATAGAAATTTTGAGCCAAAAAATGTTCCGTAAGTCATTATGTACTAATCGATGACATCCTTCTTGTGTATGGGGAAGCGTCTGTGCTGTGTGACAATTAAGCGCGAGGAATTTGGCGTCTATCAGTTTAGTCGTTCTCGGATGCATGTCAGCTGGAATATGATTTGGATCATTGTCTCGTCTTAAGTACTTCCGTCTAACCAAGTCCATAATATTATTCGATACTCGGGGTTTGTATCATAGATTAGCGCAAATATTTCCTTTTCGCTTCATTTTTTGCGTCAAACTTAAACACACATGAAGCTCGGGGCGAGAGATCTTCTTTCAAACGACCATTAGATTGTTGGCGATTTGGCCAGAACTGCCACCTATATAACTCAGTATTTTTCCTATCATGTCGCTGTCAGATTTCTCCGACTTGACAGATTTGTCTTCTGACGATGATGACTTCCCGCCGTCCAAAACAAGTCGGACAACGACTCAGACGTCAAAGAAAGGGAAAGGTACCAAAGAATACAAGATTTCGGGCGTCTTGCGTGCGCCACGGACTACATCATATACAGCAAAGTCACTCTACGGTAAGGCGAGCTGCTTACTAGTGGTGTTTATCTGCATCACCCTTCTTGCAGACCAAATCATCGAAAATGCGATTGACCTTGACCCAGAATACCAACGTGGTGAGTCTCTCGCCTTGAAAAACACGGTTTTTTTGTCACTTGGCTCGCAACATCTTCTGATGAGTCTCATTTCATTCGTAGACGTTGTATGGCCAGAGCTAAAGCAGTCCGGTCTTATCGACTCTATGCTGCGAAACTACTACATGCCTCCAATAATATTTGGCAAGTCTATTTGCCACCCTAGTCTGCTCATGCATTGATAGGCAGGGAATCACTAGCGGTGTCAACAGCCGATGATGGCAGTGAACTGCGAACTTGCATAGATGGGAAGCAAAGGCTGACTTCAATACAAAGGTATATACAGTAAATGAACGGGAATAATTTGCTGATATACCACAATTTTGATTCAGGTTTATAGATGGACAGGTTTGTAATTCTGCCATTTGCAGTCTCATCGCCTTGCTAAATCTGGATTCTGGATTTACTAGATACCACGTTAGTCGATACATGCTATTGCTGCATGCACTCACTCCATTTGGCATGCTATCACAGATAAAGATTCGTACGTCCCTCTAATCTCCATATGATGTGTATTATTAAATACTGTCCAGGTTCACAAACGAAAGACTTTGGTACAGAGGATTCGCTAGTAATTCTAGGCGAAAGCTCCTTCCAAAACAACTTATTCATCAATTTTCGAACAAGCAGATTGTATGCGTCGAGTACAGCGACATCAATCCAGATCAGGAACGCGAGATCTTCCAGGTAAGTGCTGGGGCCTCGTTGCATGCTACTAGCTCACACGATTATTAAGAGAGTGCAACTAGGGGTTGCGCTTACTCCTGCAGGTCAGCACCGCTTTTTCATTGTTGTACAGTAGCTTGATGCACACCTTGTAGAACGCATGCAAGCAATTGTTGGCCCTTGGCCTACGGTCATTCGGGAAATTCAAAGCCAAGTACTTGGCGAAGATGGATTTCAGGGTTACCTTGACTGGGGTCATGCACGAGGACGTGACTTTCAGTGTGTGGCATCTATAGGCTACCTTATTGAGAACCACCCCAAGCCTACTGTTCCTTCCGCCCCGACACTTGAAAAGTGGCTCTTGAAGAGCGACCCCGTCTCTCCGAAGCTTCGCGAGGACTTGCTAGATACGTTCCGTGTCTTTCTCACCCTTGCTCGGGACCAGAAATACAGTCGCTCGCTCAACAAGCCTACTCGTGTTTCTCCCATAGAGTTTGTGATGATTGGTGTCCTAATTTACCTCTTCCGTGATCGGCTGTCGCTTACACAACTCTCCTCTGCCATTGAAAAGATGCGAAAGGATGTACGCGACGACCACCAAGATATTCGAGCAAATGGCAGGATCACCAAGCACATGTTATCATTCATGACCAAAAGGCTCAAAATATCTGAGCTAAAAACTGATGGGGAAGGTGACAAACCGGCCGCTGGAAAACATACAAAAGCCAAGAAACGGAAGAGGGTTGCAGAATATGATGACGACAGTGAAGAGGAAGAGAAGCCTCGCAAAGTAACTGCATCGAAGGTTTCGAGTGAGCCATTTTGTTAAACTTTGGTTGATAAATTTTTGATTCACTACTTGCATATATAGCTTCAAAATCAAAGTCTTCAGGATCTGCTTCCCAACAGAAGACTGAATCCAAGTCAAAACCTGCGCCAACGAAAGTGTCGGCTACTCCTGCAGTGTCTCAGTCAAAGCAGAAAAAAGCTCCCCCAGATTCTCGAGCCCCTGTTGAAGAAGTGTCACAGGTTCCGGTGCAGGCAACAGCGCCACCTCCAACACCCGCTCCTCCCGCGACATCTACCAGGCCATCGCCACCTTTTGGACAAGTGTTCTCCCTGCAATCGAACACAGCAATTTTGGCGCATCCTACCAGATCTTCCCCTGTGCCCATCAGGACAGATGCTCAGGTTTCTCCCGTGGTAAAGTCAGAGCCACGTATTGCTTCACTATACCCTTCTCCTGCGATTACATCCAATATACCAGCGGCTGATAGACTTGGTCCTATTCGAGCCGCAAAAGAGGCTATTCGAACAAATACTGGTTCTCAGGTCCAGTCTCCTGTTGCTCCTCACACAGATAACGCTGTGGGTTCTGTGTCGAAGCTTGACGTGAATGGCTCAGCAGCTATGCGTGATCCTCGCCGTGCTGCGCCATCTCCAGCGGCCGTCGCTGTTCTGCCACAACAAGGCCTGCACCCGCTATATAGTCTGGGGCAACAATTCCAAATCAATCCTTCGGAGGTTGAAGCCCTTTTGCGGGCGCATGGACTTGTGGTGCCTCATAATCAACAAATGCCAATGAATTCCCCTGTTGCATTGTCTGAACATGTTATGACAGCTATGGGCCTGAATATTTTGAGCGGGGTTAGTACCTCAGCCTCTGGTTCTTCGAATTTCTCGCAGGGCGTATCAGTCAGTGGTTCTGGACAGGGCATGCAACCTGTTCTGTCCTTCCAGCATTCTCAGGGGGGCCCTCAAGCTCCGCTGTACTTGCCTGGCCCATCACAGAATGGTTTATCAAACGGGACTCACCCTACTTCGCATCATTCTCTCCCACCTCGACCGTCATCGACTGCACCAGCCCCGGTCAACACAGTCGTATCAACTGCGCCGATACCGCTGCCGCCGCATTCTGCACCCTCGACTGGATCGTTCAAAGATGAGCGACGATATAGCGAATATGAACGACGGGACTACTCGAGAGGCAGTGGGCCTTATGAGAAAGACTATCGACGTAATGATTCCCGGCGGGATTCGAGTGGGTGGGACAGTCATAGAGGAAGAGATGATGGCTGGGGTCAAAGGGGGAGAGGTGGCGGAAGCCATAGGTGAGCAAATGGCTCAATAGCAAAGACCATGGTTCAAGGTAGGACATGAGTCTGAGTGTGTCCATCCATCCCAGTACTTATGTGATGTTCTAGGCGTCAATCAGGGCGCTAGGTGGTCATTTCTGGGTCTTTCTGCGGCCCTACCAGCATCATGCATTGTGATTGTGTTTCATATTGTTTCATATTTTGCCTTTTTTATCATCATGACAGCATACTTCTCAGACTTCACTGCAACGCGACTGGCCTCGTTCATTCATTATCGCCGCCGTTTATAATAAACACCATAAGTACCACTCGGTTTCCCCCTAGCTTGGAGATAAAGCCAAATTGCACGATATTGTATGAACTGTACTGTGGGTGTTCCAGTTGAAACAATATGCTTCAGTACAAAAACCAGTGTCGATAAACGGGCAATAAATGGTCTAGACGAAACCTTAACTAGGTGATGACGATCATTAAGACCAGTATAACTCCTATCATTAAGACATGAGGCCGAGCTTCGCGGGCGCTATTTGAACCCTGTGCCCCGCCTGCTACCCAGTCACGCCATGCAGCCTGCAGCTCAAGGATGAACGCTTGTGCCTCTGGGCTGTTGGAGCCTTGCACGCCATAAGAGTATGGATTTACTACAGGTGTAAGCCATCCTTCCGGCGTAAAGTGGAGCAGGCCGGATACGGTTGTGCCCGTTCCGGCAAGTGCGGTGGATGTTGTACTGGGCACTAGTGTTGTCGAGGTAGTGGCTATGGAAACAATGGTGCCAGCAGAAGCTAAGAGCGCTTTGCGGACCTGTTCAGCGAGTGGGATGTATGTGTGGATATTGCCAAGGAGAGATAACCGATAGACCGTGCTGGCCAGTAACGCAGTTGATGAGGCATCATGGAACGTGGCATTATTATCAGCGTAATTGTAGAACAATCCGTTGGAGTTCTGGTCTGGTGATGAGACATATTCTGACAGACCGGTTTACAATTGGACGCACAATGCGGGAATACATCGCCCCGTGAATCTCATGCACCCAATGTGCAAGGTCGTTCTGTTGACTCTTAAACGTATTCGCGAACGGGGAACGTTGTATAGTCCCCAGGACCCGTATCATGCCTGCCGCCGCCCATGCATTACCTGTAATTGAGCCGTGCAAGGAATGAACGCTACGCTCAAGAAAAGTCACGCACCTGTCGACCAGTGCCCATCATCAATTCCTGTCTGACCAAGTTGTACATGCTTCCATAAATTACCGGCTGCCGTGTCTCGAAGATATTTTCGGTACAGGCGGATCTGCGTGTATGCCTCACCCAGGATGGTCTGATTTTGCGTCAGGACACCATAATACGCCAAAAACGGAGGAACCATGTACACCGAATCACTCCTATGTGAAGACGTTAGTTATTCAGGGGAGCCTCTTATACATGACGTTTGTTTCACCAAAGTTGCAATTGGTCCACTCTGTGAGAAAAAGCACCATCT